CTGACAAAGTGGAAGTTGTTCCCCAGGGGTATACGATTTTTTTCAGCCGTTTCCATGGGCTTTGGATCTGCAGGATGCTGTTGCACTCTCAGCTCCTACAAGCGTGCGTGGGAGCCAAGGGCTGGTGACCGCAGAAGCCACCGGTGCACTGGGGACTATGCACTGGTCGCACAGGGGATTCCCACCTCTGTGCTGCCCTCACCCCATGTTTATAAAGAAGGGTGTTCCACCCTCACTGCTGTGCAAATAGCAATTGCCTTTCTAATCTGAGGGCAGTGATTCATACCTCTGCATGGTAATCCCAGGGGTTACCACTCGGTTTAAAAATAGCCATGCTACCACACCTGCAGACACTCGCCTAGAAGTGAAGGCAGTAAAATAACTTCCTTGTTGTCTCTCCTGGAAATGAGCAATATTTGCAATTGGATTTAGAGACATATTTTTATTGCTCACAGCCATTGGGCAAAACCAGTCAGAAACAGCTGCTTAATAAAATAAGAACACAATCTCTTGAAAATGAGCATTAGCCTGGCTCCTTTTGTGGGACATCACCAGGCTGCTTTTGCAAAGTGGTATCTGGCTGGCAGTTTCACTGGCAGGCGGCCAAATGAGCAGGATTTCGAGCATGCGTTTGGGTAGTCCTCCCAAACCCATCAAGATAGATGTTTTAATCTTAAATTGACTCACATGAGGGGTAGAGGAGAAGGCAAGAGAATACCCTAACTTAGCAGTATTTCTTGCAGAAGCATCTTACAGCCTCAAAACAGCTTTCTCATTACAGCATCAATTCAAATCAAGTACAAAAAACTAATAATTAATTTTTAAAATGGTTGGATGATAGGGAACCCAAGGTTCTCCATCTTGATTGGTGCTATAATAAAGATCTCTTATACGATCACACAACCTTGTTTACTTTCTAAATGGAAGTGTTCTCACTACCCCTGTCTCTGGAGGAAACCTGCAAAGGACCTGATACCATCACCCTATTTCATGTACTCGCATAGCAACCAGAGAAAACAGCCCCTCAGAGGGCCCAGGGGTATGCATTTGTAGTGCTAGCAGACACCTCTCTTCTTTACCAGGACATTTGTCTTGAAATCAAGGTCAAACATTCTAAATTCAGTCCCTGGGGCACTATATTCAGCTCATGCTTCACTAAGTCTGTGCTGAGTTTTGCAGGAAGAGGAGTAGCTAAGCAGTGTCTCTTGGCAGACAACAGCATTCGGTCCCAACGTAGTGATATGCCAACAAGGTCAACAACAGGCTTCCACTAAAATGCCCTGTATTTTGTAGTAAGCATATGCATAAATTGGTTGGAAGATGTGTACTTGTACATCTGAGATGCGGTGAAGGGGTTCATTCATGTCTCTATTTAAGCTAAGAGAGTCTCACCTCCTGGGAAAACTTGCCCTAGCATGCTCTGTGCTGAGCGCTGTGGATATAGGATGGGTAAACACCTGTCCCACCCTCAGTGCAGGTTTCCACTTCCAGTTGGTTGGATGGATCCTAATGCTATTTGAAATTTTTTCATCAAAAAAACTTAATGAAATATGACTTTTAAATTTTTTTCCTAAGGAAAAAGCTTTTGTGAAGCCAAATGCTGAGAACATCTGCACATGAAAGACATGTTGAGGAAAAAAAATCCCTTATTTGTTAATTTCTTTCACATGCCTTTTGCATGAAAATGCTGGTTTCTGATAGGGCTATGAGATACTCTGTCTTGCATGTGCTACTTTTACATTATTATATTACAGGTGAAGTCTCTTCTACAAGACGTGCCAGAGCAGCGGCATGGTAGTTGCTGGGGTGGCACAGCAGTATGGCACAGTGCTTACTCCTTCAGCCTAAAGGGCAGACTTCAATGCTGGAGTCTCCAGTTCTGCAAAGTACTTGAACATGTTTTCACCATGTGTGTCTATGTAGCAGAACACTTCTGCATGAACATATAAAAGCTAGATGAACCCAAATAAATCTATTTTGCTGTATAGGAATGGATTTCTTGTTATGTAGGTCAACACTTCGATGAACTAGACTCTTAGTATTCCAGACCCGGGATTTAATGCTCAGTTTGGTATATGATGGCAGTCAGTACTTGTGCATGCTGAATGAAAATGTTACACTGCATAATGGCTTAAGAAGGAGAACTTGATTCAGTTTGATTTGGTTTTGTATGGAAAAAATGGCATCATTTCAACACAGTGTAAGCTGGATGTGTTTGTTCTTAGGATGGAGCTTCTGCAATTTTCCTGGCAGCACAAGGAGGCTATCTGGATGTCATCCGATTGCTGCTTTCTTCAGGAGCAAAGGTTAACCAGCCACGGCAGGTAAGCTCAACACTTCAGAGAAGAGCTGGGGTCTAATTACTAAATTTTACAGTTATGAAAAATTAACACTGGATTAGAGACATTTCCTAGGTGTTAAACTAACTGAGGGATATGCGGGCGTACATGATGTACAGAGACATATATAAAAGCTCTCTTGGTTTCCAAAAAAGGATTTCTTAATTGCTTAGCTGTTTCTTGACTCTAAAATCGGTGCTTAAACAGCACATTTACATGCTGCTTTGAGTATGTAACTCCAGATGTGGGAGTTGCATGGCTAGCTTTACTCCCAGCACCTAGAAATGTCTGGTTAGAGACAGGGCTTCCCAGGACTCTTTGCCTGCTTTGAGAGAGCCTCCCCTGTGGTCTGCTGAAACCCTGCAGGCAAGGTAGCTGTCCTGGGTCTTCACTGCACATTTTAAATTGATGGCATAAGGTCTTGTCCTTGCAATCAGTCATGTATGGCTGCCAGGTGGCTGTGATCACTGACTGCAGCAAGTAAAAAATCAGCAGACAGGAGCAAATGAATGTGAAAACTCTAATAACAGTGGACAACGTGGCATGTGACAAGCTTTGCCAGGTATTTTCAGTATTTCCTTTCATCTACACCAAAAAGCCTGACAAATCGTAGCCTGGCAGCAAGAGGTTGATCTATATGACTTCTGCTGCATCTGTAGGCCTGCATAGCCTCCCTGCTACTCCTGTAGTGTAAGGAAACTGGATCAGCATTTTATGTGCCCAAACTGAAGTCATTTTCCTGCTCTCTCTTCCCCCACCTCTCCAGCACCAGAGCTGTGCTGGCAGCTACTCTCTGGACTGATGCTTTAGTTGCTCCTAGGCTACCTCCACACTGTCTCCCAAGATCAAGATTAAGAAATGTTGTTAAAAGCTGTTAATTAATGCAGTCTAAAAGATCAATGTAGGGTAGACCAAGGTATGCATTAATGCCTTTTGAGTCGGTCAAAATAAAGTTGGGGATCCTTAGATTTAGCTCCACAATGTTGCCATAGAAACTGCATTCTGCTAACCATAATTATAATGCCCCAGCTAATTCTTTCTGACAATATTTTTTTAGCTCTCTAATCCAATTTCTACAACACAGTGTTTCATGAGGCATTTTTAAATCTTAGTTGAGGCAAAGACTTGACTCTGCGCGAACATTCCTCCTGGCTCTGTTTCATCTCCGGCAATACAGGCTTACTTTGCTTCAGGGTACCTCCGATCCCTGCTAAGATTATGCCTGGATAAGTCCATGGCATTTGTATTTGGGCCCACTGTAACCTGAAACATTTCCTTAACAAATGGAAAATTTTTACTGTTTAATTAGTAAAGTAATGGTTGGATGGACTTCAGACTCTTTCTTACTAACAAACAAATTTGTACTTTGTTCGAAGGTGGCATGTTGGTCATGAGGAATGTAGCTCTAGATGGGACAGTTTCGATGCCAGATGGCTCTCACTGTCAGTTACAAACTACATTGCTCTCACTGCTGTAGGAAACTTTTCTAAGCAACGTATCATCGAATACAGGGCTGGCCACAGCTGTGCCAGGTGTGAGTTCATGCTTCTCCTTCCTCATGGTGTCCAGGTTTTCCTCTCTACCTTGTGAATTAAGAGGTAGAGAACCCGCTTTGGGGGCTTAATTCATCTGCCTGAGCATATGTATCTGCCCCGTATGTCTCCTCCTGCTGCTGCAGTGGGTACCAGCTCCACTTCGGTCTCGTGCCCCATCTCCCAGTCCCACGGAGGTGCTCCTGACACCGTAGAGCGCCTCGGATGGTGCTGGCTGTCTACGTGCAGGCTCTTCAGCTCAGCTCTCACAAGACTGAACAGCGAAGCTTCCTGGCGCATTTATTCCCTGGCAATGTCATTTCTCTTGGTTTTTAGCCACCTTCTGTTCTTTCTGACATTGTGGAGCCGGGTAGGAATTCTTTTGCCGTCTTTTTGTCTAGACAGAGCTGGGGGCAGTGTCTGAAGCCTGGTGTGGGAGATGTTTCTTTGCTTCTCCAACTCGAAAACAAAGCGAGATCATTTGCCAATGAATTTTACATGGTTTTGGCAGCCTGTGTCCCAGCAGGCTTTAGTCTGACTGGCTAAGCAGATTCAAAATACTCTGAAAATTAATGTTTTTTTCTTAATGCATGATATGCAATTACACATATATGTAAGCCTGTAAACCTATATAGACTGTAGACTTCAGACAAGCAAGCACTTTGTTATTAGCAAGAATTCAGCTGGTGTAGTGATGTGAGTGGGCTGATGGGCAGAACAGTGGAGGAGATGACACTGAGTAGCCTGAGAGTAGGTGCTGTCTGTTCCTGGAAGTCCTTATTGGGAATTCAAGGGGTATTTCACCTCCCACCCTAACCCAGTTAATGGGTAAGAGAAAGAGCATCAGAAATTTCGGTCAGAGTATGTTTGGAACTGCTGGCTGCTGGATGTAACAAGTTGCAGTCCATATATATTAGCTTGTAATCAAATACGGAAATAAGCACAGCTTAAAAACATATAGGGTATTTAACGTTTTTCTAGGTATGTAATGGTCTGCAGTCTGCTGGGTGGGCAGAGGGACAAGGGAAGGAAAGTAGTTTTTGAACTGCGTCTTTCCCTGTTCTCACTTTGTTCCTGACTCATCTCCAAGCCCTAATACCTGTTTACACAGGAGTGCTCATGTGGTCCCTTAGTACAATGCAGTATCTCTGCACTGTACACCAACATGAAAATGGACAGAAATCTCATCTACTCCATATAAATATTATACGTGTTTGCATAAACCTGCCTGTTAGATGCTGTTTGCTTCAGAGAGAGAAGCTGACAATAGTCAACGTGAGCCCACCATCAGCTTCATTATCTTTCTTCTCTTCAGGCGAAGTCCTCCAAGACAGTCACTCTTTCTCACAAAGCAATTTTGCCTCTAGCCTATAACTGAGATACTGAGGATGATCTCGAACAGCAATACTATTAAGGACAGTTAACAGTAATAATGATGTTACCCAACACTTGTATTTCCTTCTGCTCCTTTTCATTTATACCTGAAAACAAGAGTTGTTCTTACAAACTTCATTGTGAGTAAAAGAAAGCTGCTATGTTCCCCGTGCGGTGCTTGTGCATGCATTTCTTGTGTAAATAGAAGCATGGATTTGCACAGCATTGGATCTTCATGCAGATTGTGTAGGCTGCTCTCAGATATTTTCCAAGTTTTATAGGCTTTTTTAGCATCCCTATTGCTATTTTCTAGAGCCCTCTGGTGGGGGGAGATTAGAAAAAATACGAGGTGTCAGCTTAATGGTGGGGAAAACACCGTAAATTGGAGAGGGACAGTTTTTGCCATCACGCTAACATCACATATGCTGTGTACAAGACAGCCTTTGTTATTTTTGAATCACAAAGAACACTTATTGTATTAACAGGCTATAAACTAGAATGAGGTCAGTCACTAATTTCAATGAGTTAATTTATAGAGAAATGATACAAGAGTGGGCAAAGATCCTGTTCCTCACCATTTGAGAAGACTGAAGATCTCAGGATGTGCACTTACTCTTTCTCAGAATCAGAAAAAGGGAAGCCCAGAATATTATATCAAAGGAAGAAATAACTTTTCTGTTTCTTCCAAAGGATTAAGTCGCTAGCCCATAGAAAGCAGAGAACTGGTTCAGCAAATTCTTTTTTGGATTCCACGAGCAAGTCATATGAATCTTCAGTTGGCACTGAGGAGAGAGATTGCTTCTTTGATCAAGGTGGAAACATCTTATTTAAAGTAAAAAGTTGTTTTCTTCTGAAACTTCTCATTAAGGCTCTTTTGGAAGCCCCAGTATCTTTTGTCTTCCTTTTTCCTGCCAAGCCTTCAGGCTGCTGAGGGTGGCGAGGGGAACTGGCAAGCGCCGAAGGCAGAAGCAGGCACCCTACTATGAGAGGCCTCACTTTCATGTTAAAGTCCAGGCATTAAACAGGCAAAACCTATTGTTAAAGGCCCACAAGAATCAATTTGGCACCACATAACCACTGGGGTCCCCCTGTAGTCTGGAGAATCAGGCCATTTAGAAGCAAAAGGAGGAAAAGACATAAAACTAAATTCTAATTGCGGCGAGAAATACTTCTAGTTCTTCAACTCACCTTTGCCTTTGGGATGGAAATCCATCACAAAGTTTAGCTTATTCTGAATGTGCATTTTATTTTCTGAGGTTTTCTGCTCAAATAATGATTGCACAGGACAATTTTTCCAAACCAGATTGTTTCACGATGGATTATCGATAATTGCCTTGTTTTCTAGCGAAGTGCTTGAAGATAAAATTTGTGAAATACTGTTGTGGTTTAACCTCAGTCGGCAACTAAGTACCCCACAGCTGCTCACTCACTCCTCCCCCCCGCCGCCCCAGTGGGATGGGGGAGAGAATTGGAAGAGTAGAAGTGAGAAAAACTTGTGGGTTGAGATAAAAACAGTTTAATAATGGAAATAAAATAATAATAACAATAATAATAATAGTGTAATAATAATAATAATACACAAAGCAAGTGATGCATGATGCAGTTGCTCACCACCCACTGACTGATGCCCAGCCAGTCCCCGAGCAGCGGCCCCCCTGGCCAGCTTCCCCCAGTTTATGTACTGAGCATGACGTCACATGGTATGGAATGTCCCTTTGGCCAGTTTGGGTCAGCTGTCCTGGCTGTGCCCCCTCCCAGCTTCTTGTGCACCTCCGGCCTTCTCAGTCAGTAGAGCATGGGAAGCTGAAAAGTCCTTGACTAGTGTAAGCACTACCTAGCAACAACTAAAACATCGGTGTGTTATCAACTTTGTTCTTGTCCTAAATCCAAAACACAGCACTGTACCAGCTACTAGGAAGGAAATTAACTCTATCCCTGCCGAAACCAGGACAAATACTTACCATCACTGTAAGGCAAGATGTTTTTACCAGATTCCCTAAGGGTGGATAATGTAATTTAGCATTAAAAGTTGGTGATCATCTTGCATTGCTCCTTAGCTTCTATAAACAACTTCCACTCCATATGTAACGAGACCCAGCTGCAGAATCTGCCCATGCATGCTGAGATTTACCTGTATCTTCTGTCATGTCTAGCCACCTAGAGTTCAAAGTACACAGGATACCTTTGGCCTTTACATTTCAAACTTCCCTATGTATTTTAGGCATGACTGGTAAGCCAAAGAGGGCTTTAACTGTTCGCACAGCAATGCACATTTCAGGCCAACTATGCAAGAGAAAGCAGCTAAGGGTGGCTCTACTCCACAATTGGAGTGGTTCTGACTTGATACACTGAGCTCCCGTGTGCTTTTGGAAGCGACTCTGCATATAGAATCATAGAATAGTTTGGGTTGGAAGGGAGCTCTAAAGGTCATCTAGTCCAACCCCCCTGCCGTGGGCAGGGACATCTTCAACTACATCAGGTTGCTCAGAGCCCCGTCCAACCTGACCTTGAATGTTTCCAGGGATGGGGCATCCACCACCTCTCTGGGAAACCTGTTCCAGTGTTTCACCACCCTCAGTGTAAAAAATTTCTTCCTTCTATCTAGTCTAAATCTACCCCCCCGTCTATCTGTGATGCAGGATTTAACTGAGAAATTGAAGTACATCCATTGCAGTAGGCAGACTTGGGTGGTAAAATACCAGGGAGCACAGGGCCTCAAAGTGAAACCTTCAGCAGTCTTATTTTGTTTGCAGGATGGGACGGCTCCCTTGTGGATTGCATCGCAGATGGGTCACAGTGAAGTGGTGCGAGTAATGCTGCTCCGGGGAGCTGAGCGAGACGCCGCGCGGGACGTGAGTAGCACTTCTTCTGGAGCTCTGTCTGCAGCTTAACACCTCCTAGCTTTTTCTGAGGCTGCAAGTCTGCCTGAATGGAGGCCCGGTGTCCCCAGAGTCCATCTTGTTTGCCAGGCTGCAAAGTCCCACCATGGGCTCCCTTTTTCCTGTTGTGTCTCGGACAGCTTCCTGGAGGGACCTCCTGGAATAAGGGACTGGAAATGTCCATATAAATGAGAGACAAAGACGATATATGGTGTCACTAGTTCATTTTACCCTGAAGTTTTCACCTGCCAGAGGAACAATCCTCCAGATGCCCTAAAACCAGCAGCATATGCTGTGGAGGTGCCTCCTCAAAGACAATGAGCACAGGAGACCCTCCTCTCAGAGGTGTTGGGGAGAGCTGGCGTTTCCCTCCAGCTGAGGGGAACACAGGTAAAGTATTGGTAACAACTGAACTGACCTTCCTCTGTGTTTTAAAGGATGGTACGACTGCTTTACTGAAGGCTGCCATTAAAGGGTACAACAATGTGATAGAAGAGTTGCTGAAATTCTCTCCCACGCTTGGCCTGCTGAAGGTTAGTAGTGAAACACACAGATTTTTAGGCAGAAACTCAAGAGGGCAAGGGGTCTGATGAAAGACCTGATGTTTATGACTATGCCAGTGGAAGACAATAAGGAACTTGAGCTCAAAAAAGTGAAGAGAAAAATGAAATTATCTTATTTAGCCTTTAATGCCACACACAAATGAATCTTTTCAAACGAAATTGTGGATTTGTTTTTTGGAATGAGGAAGCACATTGTGCCGTAGAAGGAATTCTCCTGCTTTTCGTCATCTGATTTTATTTCTACAGGAAATGGATTGCTCTCGACAGTGCAGTTTTTAGCGTTATATCCTGCCCTCTGTTGCATTTAGTCAGCAAAATAGTATCCTGAGAGATCTGTTGTGAGCAGATTCTCTACTTGATTTTGTTTTCCTCTGAATTCAAAAAGTGACTTGAAACACAACAGATATTTGGAAGCTGCTTTTTAATAGCTGATCTAATTTTATGTGTCTATAAATCACATACTTTGATAGCTTCTGTGCATGCAACTAATTTGCAATTTTGATGTACTTGAAAATCCAGGTGGCATTAACTTAGTTGTTAGTCACAAGTATGAAATAGCTTCCACACTTATTTGAACTGTCAGTTTGCAGCCACAAACAAAAGGCCAGCCATAAAAAAATCACCGTTCAGCTGTCTGACATTGAGATCATTAATCATGAGAGAAAGAAGATAAATGCACAGATGGTTTCCATTACTGCTTGTGCTTCTGTTTCACTTGCTAATGGCTGGTTTTGCCAAGCAGAAGCAAGTGCTGTGTTCATTTCACCTCTAATCTATTGACAAGGGTAATTTTAAAAAGGAAATACTGCTGTGGTAAAGGGAACTTGACTGTCATTTTTATTAAAGCATTTAAAATCTCCTCCTTCATAGCCCACTAGCCTGCCAGCACCCTGTCTAAATCAGACCCTGTACCTTTGATGACCTCTTCCGTGTTACTTCTTTCTTGTTTGTAGGCTTGTTCTTTGCAAACATTTGTGTTTCACTGCCTTTTGATTGCTTGCCATGCACGGTACAAACATCTCCACTGGTATTTTCTAGAATGGGACCTCTGCTCTCCACGCAGCCGTCCTGAGTGGCAACGCGAGGACAGTGGCGCTGCTCCTCGAAGCAGGAGCGGACCCGTGCCTGAGGAACAAGGTACGTCCTGGCACACCGTCCCAGGCGAGGAGCAGGTGGGGAGCACCGAGCAGTGGAGCCGTGCATGCCATGGCGGCGGTGGCAGTCCACATTTCTGTGTCGGTCCATGGTTGCTTCTTGATCCTCTCCTGAAGCACCACCATTCGGTCCATTCGTTTCCATATACAAGTGTCTATAAGGGTGCTAAGCAGTGCTGCTGGTGATGCCGGTACTCATGAAGTTACATCAATCTGAGAATAACCGAACCATGTACTCACTCGAGCACCACAGATTAAATTGTTAACTATAGCTAGTCATGGGCTAGCTAGGTTGCATTTTAGGGAAACAGTAGTCGGTCACTGTTTTGATAAGTCATAAGTTGTATTTGTGTCTAATGTGAGAAATGTGCAAGGAAGATATTTCAGCAGCAAGAGAAACATATATCTGGGTGCCTTTCGTTTCAGCATATTGCTAATGCAAAAAATACCTCAAATTACATGCGTCTTTCCCATATATTACTATAAATCTGTTAGTTTATTGAAATAGTTTCACACTCATTTTATGGCAGCAACTTTTCTGCAGAAAACTTGTCTTGCTTTTATTCTGTAAAGTGTTTTAACATTACATGTTTGATAATTTCCATGAAAATGTCTTCCTCTGAGTTGTGTTTATGAACTGTTTGCCACTAGTATTTGATATCTAGCTGGGTTTGTTAAACTATGAATAGGTGGTCTGGTATTTACTTCTGGTTTGTGATTGGGTGAATGAAAGTTTGTAATACAAGTTATCCAGCATATACCTTCTAAATGTTTTGGTCATTTAATATAAAATCTATGCCTGTTATTTCTGTATCATTCCACTTGATGGCAGCAGAGTTAATGCCTCGCATACAGTAGGTCGTGTTAATAAGCATTTTGGTTTGCTACTATCGTCCAAACAATGTGCAAGATTTTTCTGCCACTGACAGTGATTTGCAGCAGGAGGGTGTTCAGTATAAGAAAGTCTGTGGCTATAACCTCTCCTACTGATTTTCTTTTTAAATAACTTGCAATTTGACACAACAGAGTACATTTGCAGAACAGAATTACTGATTTTCAGAAGTAGCTTCTTTATAAATACTTTATGTTACCAAAATTGTATTCAATAAATACAGAAGACCAAACTCTGATGTTCTATTATTACCAATCCTACAGAATAGCACTGACTATTTCATAGCAATTGAAGTCTTTCCTTGGATTTTTATGGACTTTGGTACTTAAAGTCCTGCCTCCCCCAAAAAATCAGCAGCTACGTTCTCTTCTAATTTTGCGGCAGAAGCATAGGAAGCCCAAGGGATACCATTTGGCCTGGACAGTCAGCACAAAATAAGGTGACCACTCAAATCCCACGCTGGGATTTTGGAGACTTGAGTGAGACTTGCACACTGCGTGGAAAGGTGACTTCTTAACATATCTCCAACAGTGGTGGAGACAAGACTGGAATAAGCACGTTATTATAATGCCCAGTACCATCTTCTTTAGAGTTTAATGCTTTGAAGCCATGTTTTGGAAATACTCGTTCATTTCTGCTAACCCCAAGCTGTTTTTTGTTCCAGGCAAATGAACTGCCAGCAGAACTAACAAAAAATGAACGCATCCTCCGACTCCTCCGTACGAAGGAAAAGCAAAGGAAAAGCTAATGCAGCCCTGTAGCAAATGCAGTTTGACAGAGATGCGCCCTGACCACAGTAGCGTGACAGTAAATCTAGGTTGCCCTAGAAGGGCTTGTTGGAACAGTTTGCAGAACTGATTAGCCTCTCCAGTACATGCTCCCTGAACACACGAGAGGCCCTTGCCACGGGGTCGCCACGGGCTAGGGCCTCCGCCTGGCATCGCTGAACGCAGAAGGACTGTGATGGGAGCAGGGTTTGGCCTGGGAGCTGCGTTTGCACTGCAGCCCTGCCTGTACTCCAGAATCCCACCGGCCCCAGCACTGACGTTTCCTCCTCCGCACCTGCAGCGTACGCATCCCCGCACGCGCAAGTGCTCCCGCCATTTCAGACACACGTCCCCATGCTGGCATGGCCGCACACCTGTAACGGGTGCCTCGGGGCGCATGTGTGGGTCGGGAACACTCGGCCCTTGTGTCAAAAGGACACCCAGACCTCACAGCTGTTTGGATGCAGTTGGTCCTGGAGCAGCCCCACGGTGCCGCTGCCCGCCCTTTGCTGGCAGAGCTAGCTCTGACTGTTCCTCTCTACCTCCAAGTGCCGCACGGGGCTAGAGGTGAGATTCCACCTGCGACATCCCAACAGGAAAAGTCCTCCTGCCAGCCCAGGGCTTTGGTAACATTTTGGCTACTACATGAAGCTCCATAAAAATGATCCAGAGCGTTACAAATTATGACAAAAGCTACCGACCCAACAATAAGCAAGGAGATGTCCTCCTCAGTTGTAGCATCTCGATCTGTCAATCTGTCCAGCAACAGAAACACAGCGGAGCAGTTGGTAGCACTTTGCGATGTGTACACAGTGCTATGGGGATCCATCCCCAATCCTACAGTCTACATACATGCATTTTTGTGGGTAGGGGAGGACTGGTTACTGAGCAAACCAACCAGGGCATACCATTCACTGGCGCAAGTACGTCAGAAATTTAGCTGTCGGGCACAACAGCACAGATGCTATACAAGTAGTATACGTATGTTCTGCACATGCATATTATGTGACACTATGGTTTAGTATTCACAGCTACTATGCAAGGCACTTGTTCCCCAGGTCTGTGAGTTAAGGGAGGAGTGTGCAGTGTACAGGTGTTTCAACAGCTGGCGAGAGGGTTACACGTAGCCACATTCGAACAAGCCCACTAATTAACACGGCCATGGAAAATGAACTCTCAACAGCAATTTTGGGCTTTGTTGTGGTTGAGATGCTTAGACACGCTACTAGTGCCTGTGTGGGGAAGGCAGCGCAAATTGTAGATGGTTTGTGAAGAGCTATGTTTTAACCATGTTGCTGTAAGACACCCCATTAAAACCCAGTCATTTTTGCAGTATAAACAGTATATACTATGTCCTGTTAGCCACAAAATCATTAGAGATTATTTTACAGTGAGCTGAGGTATAAAGTTAGTTCAGTACATAAATCCAGGCACTTCACCTGCCTTCAAACCTTGGCAAATGACTGAAAAATTGCTTTAAAAGTTGAAGACAGAGAAGATTGTAAGGAAACAAAATATTCCCTGCTTAAAAAATGTCTGCCAGCTGAACTGTTGAACTTTTGCTTCAGTGAGTTAAAAAAAAAAATCTTTTAGTGAGCTAGCATAAATGAATGTAGTTTACTTAGTGCAAATTAGCCATATATATTACCAAATCATAAAGTTATTCTTTTTGTAATTTAGGTAAGAAGTCAGGGTTCTGGTGAAGAGAACAGAAGCGGGCATACCTTTGCTTGCAAACTGGAATTGCTATTCAACTTCTATTCAGCATTAGAAAGGAAAGCTTTAAGTTTTCCAACAATGTAAGAAGACACCAGAAAATTCTATTTGTTTAGGTAATTTATGCTGCTGTATTTTTAAATAAAAATAATGTGCCTAACAGACACTTGCAGACGAACTGGTACAGAACCAAAGAATTATGCAAGATGCTTAGAGGATGATTGTATCCAGGGTTAAGTTCTGCAAAAGACTAAAAAATATGGAGCATGCAGAAATCTCAAGAGCCTTATTGGGAACTTAAGTTGCATGGCATTACACAGGACTAGACTCTAACTTCTTTAGCAAGGAACACTGGAGAGGATAGGTTTATTTGGAGGCCCCAGTGGGTTGAAGATGAGCATATTGTTTTGGAGAACGCTAGAGGGACTCTAGGCAGCCTGGCCTCAATATTGATCTTTCTCCCTAAAGTTTCTGCAGATCAACAGCTGGGAACAACCACACTCTTAAGATGAAAAGCCCTTTCACAGCTGTAAAGGAGGAGGGTAATCGTTAGAAGGTCTGCAGTAGTCATGCTGGGTGAGCAATAAATACTCTTAATATCAGACAGGCTGTAATGATCAAGTGGTCTTCCTAAAAAATGTGGAAGCATCCACTGTTGGTGACGGTCTCCTATTTTTTCCTTATAGCAGACCATAGGAGAGAGGACAGGGCAAGCCAACAGTGGTCCTATGACAGCTGAAGTGAACAAGCTGAGACAACAACATGCCGGTGTCCAGTATCTGCAGGTGGCCTCTCCTTTCTGCCAGGTGTATTTTCTTGTGAGAGTGGTCTCACCCCAAAGGGGGCAGCTGCTCAGCAAAAAGCTGCTTCTTGAACTATGCCTGTCCATGGGAAGATGCATGTCTGCTCCCCACCATTTAGAGTAAGACTTTCGAAGTTGTGTGTCCAGCTGCCTCCGTGACTGGCCACCGCAGCCACGGCTCTCATGCAAGAAGTAAAGAACACCTGGGATGCTGCATCCCATACAGAGCATCTGCTGACCTTCTTCTGAGAGGATGCAGTTACCAGGTCCTCTTTTTCTGAGTGATATTGGGCTGTAACTGGCTTTTCTTATTTCTAAACGAAATCTGAAATGTGGGGCTAGCACAGGTTGAAGGGAGAGGCTTGTAGCTCCCTCCTTGCTCTGATTAGTGCTGGCTGATACAGCACACAGGCTGTGTGTGTGTGGCTCCATGGTGGAGAACTGGCAGCGAAGTCTTTCTCTGCCCCGTTCAGGCTGAAGTTGAATCTAGCTTCAGCAAAGACACTATTCAGCCAACATGGGATTTTTAGGCATGGAAACCTTCCCGTTGGGAGCATCTGTTTCATCTTGGAGCCTGTGGAGAGAGGGCTGGTTTTAGTTTTGGGTTCCCTGTAACCAAAAGGTGCTTATTCTGCCTGCAGAAAGTTGCAATACTGTTTCTCACCATGCAATTAACCTTTTCACAAAGAAACCTTAATAATTCTTACTATTTATGTAGCTGCTGTTATCTTTAAAGTGCTCAGTAAATACTGCTGTGGTTTGTTTGTTGTTCTAAAACGGAAACCTGCTTTCCCTTGGTGGCTGAAGTGATTACTAATATTGACAATAGTTCTTTGCATAGTTGTCGTGCCTTTTGTCCAAGGCTTTCAAAGTGCTCTGCAGACACTAGTACCTTTGTAAGTTCCAAAATGCATTGCGGGCGGAGGCAATGAAAATAATGTGAATATTATTTCATATGAAATATGAAATAATAAATTATTTCATTCACACACCAGTGAAATGCAGCAGCTGTTCATCAGTTCATGTCAACAGACAAGAGTAAATTTAGACTAGAAATTAAGGGGCACCAAATCCATTTCATAGATGGCAGGATGAAGGTAGGTACCATATAATGATGTGAAGTAGAACTGGGACAGGATAACAGGCCAAATTGTTTTTTGGGTTGGGTTTTGGGGTTTCTTTTCCCCCCAAAGTGCCATATATATCCATCTTACACCCCCAAAAAAGTCAGCTCCACTAGCACACTGCTTTTAGGCTTGCCCCTTTGCACATTCAGATCCAGGGGCGCAGCCTGCTGTCCTCTCCACCTGGGATTTATGCAGGTGCTATAGCCTGGTGAATTCCCATCAGCTGCAAGTGAGTACAAAGGATGTGCAACCAAGAACAGGCTACATAAATGAGTCAAGGAAAAGTACAGGGCATCTTTCTTTTATTTCACTAGTATCAAGCCATTGTAGGATGGGGATGAGCACAAGGAAAGGCTCATGGGGTATAGAAAGAAGTGGCATCCCGTCAGTGACGTGGTAGTGGTGTAGCCTCAGAGGTCCCAAATACATGGAGCTCTTAATTTAAGATGATCACTGCAGTGCAGTGTGCAGGGACGTCTACTCAGTAGTGATACAAAAGGCAATGTTGTACCTCCTGACTTGCACATGCTGTTCTTCCCTTGGAGCAAAACCATCTCACTATTGATCCACCCACCTTTGTTTAGTTTAGAGGAGCTGAGAGGATTAGAGCACCAGATCAAACAGCTACAGGTCATATTTAATGCATTTTAACAACGTTGATTATTTGCCTCAGAGCCTAATTGCAGGAATAATTCACCCTTCTTTATTCAGCCAGTCATGGTGACTACTGGGAAATCCGTAAGTAAAGCAAATCTTGTGTTGTCTCAGAAGTTTCAGAATTGTTGTACAGAAAATGAGGTAGCACAAACCCCGGCCCATTTGTACTTCACTTAATGTGAACACTGAACAGACATAAAATATTGCCTTTATCTGGAACCCTTGGGTCAGCAGTGTTAAAAGGTTAACATTTGCTACAAGTCCAACCAAAGATTATACACAAGGCTCCTTTTTCCAGCAACAGAATATTGTACTGCACACATGGGACTAAATGGAGTTGTGCCTTCTCACAGCGGCTCTGCATTTGGTCCTTGGGAATGTCACAACAGTTTCATACTTTCTGAATTCCACAGTTTGTTTTGACCTGCCCTTTTATGCATTTGATAAAGCCTATCTAAATTTATGTAACTACGTGTAAGACTAATACTCTGCAACAGGAATGTTGCTTTGCTAAAACACTTTTTTCCATACCATCATTTCAATAAAAATTAATATACTACTCGGATTATCTTGTCTGCATACTTCAGTATTTCTTCCCTCTCCTCTGTATTCTACTCTTTCTCTTTGTAGAATACCAGAATTAATTTCCTATTTATGTAAAGACCACTTTGTTCTATTC